GCAAAGTTATCAAGGGCAATTTCCCTGCTGAAATGTGCTTTTAGACACAATTTCGTGGTCAGACTAGACAGTATACGAAACAAGTTTCTGCAAATTCGTGTTGACCAGATAATTCAACCATGGACTGAAAAACAGCAAAAACGTTCAGTTGTCAGTCAGACATCATAGTTCAGCGAATGAGAAACTTGCCAAGGCACTCTGTGACCTGTGACCATGCAACGCCCTACCTTCTCCAGGCTGTCCCTTGTCCTCAGGGAGTTCCAGGCTTCCTAAGCCTTTCTCCAGCGTTAGGCCATTTCTAATTAACAGCAAGTGAAATTGCTCTTTTTTTTTTTTGCTCTAGATACTGTATGGAGTTCAAGACAGAGTCATTGACTCACCACTGCGCCATGGAAAACCGGCCCCTGACCCGATGGATGCAGTATCTCCGAGAGGGCTACACGGTGTGTGTGGATTGTCAGCCTCCAGCTATGAACTCTGCGAGCCTTCGATGTTCTGGAGACGGCCTGGACTCTGACGGGTAAGGGAGGGAAACTGGTTGGAGGATTTTTCTTGGTACTCATTTAGGGAGATCTGTCCTCTCCATGTCTTGAACAGCGGACCAGGATGTAGCAGATCAAGGCATGATTTGGGGAATCAAAACAGTGAGAACATTCCATCTGGCAATTCCAGAGTCCAGGACCCAGTTCATACTCTGGGACTTAGAGGCTTTGTATCAGAGATGCGTGAGTGAATTTGGATATTGGGGTTGAGGCCAAGCTCACAAGTGACTACCGAAGACCTGCCCAGTAGCAGCCGTAGACACTATGTAAACCGATGAGCTTGTCTTTGCTCGAATAATACTGTATTAATGGACACTAAAATTTCAATTTTGTATAATTTTCATGTATCACGAAATATCCTTTTGATTTTCTTTCAACTCTTTAAAAACATAAAAATCATTCTTTTCTATTACTATTTCTTTCATTGAGGTATAGTTGATTTACAATATTGTATTAGTTTCAGGTATACAACATAGTGATTCAAAATTTTACAGATTATACTCCATTTATAATTATTATAAAATATTGACTATATTCCCTGTGCTGAACAATATATCCCTTATTTATTTGTTATTTATTTATTTTAATAAATCCCTTATTTATTTATTTATTTGTGACTTATTTATTTTACACACAGTAGTTTGTACCTCTTAATACCCTCCCCCTAGTTGTCCCTCCCCCTTTCCTCTCCCCACCTGGTAACCACCAGTTTGTTCTCTGTATCTGTGAGTCTGTTTCTTTTTTGTTATATTCACTAGTTTGTTTTATTTTCTTAGGTTCCACATATAAGTGATAACATACGGTATTTGTCTTCCTCTGTCTGACTTACCTCATTAAGCATAATACCCTCCAGGTCCACCCATGTTATTGTAAATGGAAGAATTTCATTCTGTGTCTGAGTCGTAGTATATCCACCACATATCCACTTCAACCGTTGATAAGCACTTAGGTGGCTTCCATGTCTTGGCTATTGTACATAATGCTGCTATGAACATTGGGGTGCGTGTATCTTTTCGAATTAGTGTTTTCGTTTTGTTTGGATTTATACCCAGGAGTGGAATTGCTGGATCATAAGTAAATATCATTCTTAACTCATAGACTACACAAGGGCGTGGGCTGGATTTGGCCCATGGGTCACAGTCTGCTGAACCCTGCCCAGGTGATTCATACCCACAGCAAAATTTCAGAATCACTGCTCAGTGGGGTAGTCATAAAATCACAACTGAGTTAGTAGCCGTGTGCCCAGCTCTGCAGGGTCAGAAACTCTTTTGATGTTCGGAGCCCCCATTTCCCAGTGTGGGGGCAGGGGGTTCTCCTCGCACAACACGAAGCAATTCGTGGGACACCTGCTGGGCATCCAACAGTTTAGCTCAGTTCTGACACTATCTACCCAGAGATGGCATCAGATTCCACAAGGTGAGGGGCTCAGTCCTACAAGACTGTTCCCTTCCGCAGCCCCCTTCAAATCCCATTCTCAAGCTCAGGCTGTTACCTGTGCTTCTGACCAACTGGCTATAAATCGGAGATTCCCATGACCTCCTCAGGTTTGATTAATTTGCTAGAGCACCTCACAGAACTCAGAGATACATTTACTTACTAGATGACCAGTTTATTGTAAAAGGATATAACTCAGGAACAGCCAGATGGGAGAGATGCACAGGGTGTGGGAAGGGGTGTAATTCTCCCCACATCTCCACGTGTTCACCGGCCTAGAAGCCCTCTAAACCCTGTCATTTTGGCTTTTATGGAGGCCTCATTATGTAGGCATCATTGATTAAATCATTGGCTATTGATTGATTCAACCTCTGGCCCCCCTCCCCTCCCTGGAGGTTGGGGATGGGAGGTGGGACTGAAAGTTCCTACCCTCTAACCACCTGGTTAGTTCTCCTGGCAACCAACTCTCAACTTCAGATGCTTCCAAAAATCACCTCATTCACATAAACAAGACATTTGCAGCACTCTCAACATTTAGGAAATGCCAACGGCTTTGGAAGCTGTCAGCCAGGAACGGTGAACAAAGACCAAATATACATGAAAAATATATTTTGGTCATTTGAATGACCAAATATATATTTCTTGTAAATCATCGTATCACAGAAATCTATGGATTGTCCAAAAGAATTGACCCTTGAAAACATTTTACCACCCTAAAAATCCATGCCAGTCCTGTACTGATCTACTGGTTAAATCCGATAACACTATTCATAACCAAAAGAAGGGTAGAATTTGTGATGGGCATGGGTTATGGTTTTAAATATGTCAGACAGAACTGGGAAGAATACAGATTTGAAAGAAAAATATGGACCTTCCCAGTTAATCATTATTCCCATAGTATATTTTAATATTTAGTAACTTGAATTTATGTTTATTGGTCTCCTGTGCCAAACAGCCTCTGTACTGAGTACACATACGAACAGCAAAATGGGTAAGGAATTCACATGAAATAGAAACTTAATATTTAGACTTAATATTTTCCTGGCTACCTCATCCATATCTTAACTTTAAATGAATATTATAATTTAATTTGTACCTGTGAAGCACCTTCAACCCAGGCTGAAATTCCAGTGACTTTAAAAATAATAATTTCAATAATATGGCTTTTTTCTTTTCACTCCTCCCATTTTTCATTATGGAATCAAAGAGCTGGAAAGGATTTCAAAGGATCTTTTGCTTCAGACCCCTCTAATTTATTTTTTTTAAGAGGGTATTAAATTGTTTATTGATTACACATGATAATGCATGATACACTAGCTTCATTCCCATCTATAACTTTAGCTGGTACCGTAATTCAATTCAGATATATTGCATAGGATGTGCCAACAATCATATTAATAATCAAAAAACTCCATGACTTTGCTTGGGTGACCCTCTTTACGGTGAACTCCAGGTTACAACACAGTAACTGTCAGTTCAACCACACCAAGGTTTCGGAAGACAATAGCTTCTCCACCAAAGCAGGCTGTAAATACATTTTGAACGGAACCTGGCATCACCCTGAAGGAGCTCTAACTTTGCACTGTTGGGGTGAAGTTTACCAAAGTGGCTTCAGAGCAGACTAACTTTACACAGCACATTTTTTAGAAAGACACATTTGTTCAAGCGTCATGATTAGACTATTACATTTAGCAATCAACAGCATGGGTGCAAAAAAGAAAAAAAAAAAAAACTACATTAAAGCTCTTTGTTGGGATGCTTTACACTTTCCACAAAACAGAAACTAAAATAACCTGTTATACAATTAGTCATAAATACGGTCCTCGAGTTTTTTTGCCCATACACATGAGTACTGTCAAAACATGTATTCTTTGTAGCAGCTAGGCCCTGCCACCACTGTGCTTGGCTGAGTTCACAAATCTCTTGTAGCCTGCAGCTTCCCTGTCACTTCTCTGGCTCTCCTTTCCTGCAAAGCTCTGTTTCCTGGCGGTAATCAAAACCTCCTGCCACTGCCATAGCTCCTGCTGCTGCTGGAACCGCCATAGCCACCTTGGTTTCATGGTTCGGCAAAGTATTGGCCTCCACCACCATAGCGGAGAACTTGTGCCTCCAAAGTTTCCTCCTTTCATGGGTCCAAAATTTGAAGACTGGTCGTTGTAACTGCCAAAATCATTGTAGCTTCCACCACCTCCAAAATGGCTTCCATCATCACCAAACCCATTATAGCCATTTCCACTGCCACCATATCCCCCACCACTGCGCCTGCCACCAAAGGCACCTGGGCCACTGACGTCTCCTCCACGACCAAAGCTGTCATTGCCACCAAAACCCCCTCCAAGACCACCACCAAAGTTTCCAGAACCACTTCGGCCTCTTTGGCTGGATGAGGCACTAGCCATCTCTTGCTTAGAGAGGGCTTTCCTTTCTTCACAGTTGTGGCCATTCACAATGTGGTATTTCTGAATGACAGTCTTGTCTACGGAGTCATGGTCATCAAAGGTTATGAAAGCAAAGCCTCTCTTTTTGCCACTGCCCCTGTCAGTTGTGATTTCAATCACTTCAATTTTTCCCATACTGTTCAAAATAATCTCTTAGGTGACGTTCTTTAGTGTCTTCCTTAATGTCACCAACAAAAATCTTTTTCACAGTGAAGTGGGCACCAGGTCTTTGAGAATCTTCTCTTGAGACGGCCCTCTTTGGTTCCACCACGCTGCCAGCCACCTCGTGTGGCCTTGCATTCATGGCCGCACCCACCTCCTCCACGGTGGCGTATGCGACAACCCTGAAGCCTCTGGAGCGCCTGGTGTTTGGATCCCTCACTACCGCACAATCTGTGAGCGCTCCCCGCTGCTCACAATGGCTCCTCAGACACTCATAGGTCATTTCAAAGCTCAAACCTCCGATGAAGAGCTTCCGCAGCTGTTCGGGCTCTTTGGGTGACTCTGATATAGACATGACAGCAATGGAGGGGGCAGACGTCGACGATGCTGACTCGGCGGCGCCCACAGGCAGAAAGGCCAGACCCCTCTAATTTAAATGTACACAAAACAGAAAGCCATTTTCCCTTATGTAGCGCTTCATATGCTGAGAGCAAGTGAGAGACACGAATGCAGTAACCTCAAACTACAATCTCAACAGGGGGTGTTCTCAAATAGGGATGAATTGGTAACTTGTAACAGAGCCTGAAGAAGGGAAAAAGTTTTGTGATCATTTTTTTTTAAATTTCAATTTGTAATACACTTCAAAACTCAAGGTGTGATCATTTTCTAAAAAAAACCCAAAAAACAACAAACCTCAATTTATAATTCTGTAAATTAGAATTTTCTTTGGTATGCTTTAGCATAACTCACATTTTCAAAATATCATTTCAGAAATCAGACCCTCCACTGGCAAGCAATTGGCAATCCTCGATGTCAAGGAACTTGGAAAAAAGTTCGGCGAGTAGAACAATGTTCCTGTCCAGCTGTTCACAGTTTTATTTTTATATAGATCATGATATAAGTATTTCAAAATGTGTTTGTAAACATGCTAAATACTAGCAAGCCATGTTCAGCGCTTCATAATTCTTTAAAAACCCTTTGGCCAAAATTCCTGAATATATGTCATTGCCACACTCTGAAGTAGAGAAGGGACATTTGGGGCCCAGTTCTCAAGAAACACAGTGCCTTTATTTTCATTTTTACTAAGTTGAGGACCCACCCTAAAGTCTCCTGTGGTTTTCTGTCCTCGATCTGTCACCTGGAGTCTCCTCATTCAATAGGTGGCCCATTGGACACAGTGTTCATCTGTTTGCACTAAACTTACTACATTTTAATGGTCCATTTATTGGTAAGTTGTCATTTAAGGGTATCCACGATTTGAATCTTGCATTCTTTCTTTCTATTCTGTAATCTCTTAAAAACCTCTTTCTTTAAAAAATGTCTACAGATATATGTACACTCATACATTTCCCATGTATTATTCCATAAATTCTGAAATAATAAGTTCAAGCAAATTGTCACAAATAATTTTCCACAGGACAAGCTGTCTGAGATTTAGTAAGCATTTTGTTATGCGAAACCAACAGTTCTGCTAAAAATACTTTCTTTTTCGTTTTTTTTTTTTTTTTTTTGGCC